CTGTACTGCAGACCACCTGGTGGTGACTGAGCTGGATTCACAAAGCAGACAGATGCTCCCCACAACAGTGCAGTGTGATGCCTGTGGGGTACCAGCGACGGGGTGTGCCAGGGATTCTGGCCCCTACAGTGGTCTAAATTCAAGCAGCATCCCCCTTTCCAAGATGGTTCCTGGTCCCCACACCCTTCATTGTAACGCTCATTTTTAAAACTCTATTTGGGATATTAATGTCTCTACCTCCTTTCCACCAAGCCCCCAACCCTAGGTAGGAGGGAGAAGGTTATTGGGGAGGGGGGCTCTGACCCCTTTACTTCTCCCGCCTGTTTAGGGTTGAAGGGTATTTGGGGGACATACCAGTCTCTGTCAACAGCAAATGCAGCCAGCAGTCACCTCCAAGCCGCTGCTCCGAGAAGCCTTTCTCGCCATCTGTCTGCTCCAAACCGCCACAGATCTCTTCACCACCACAAACCACACCGCTCTCCAAGCTCCCATATTTATACCACACCCCTCTCTGGGCCGCACGAGGCAGGCCTTTACCAGCTGACGAAAGCCACAGACGAGACAATAAACAGCTGTGGACAAACTAGAGCCCAACTAAAATTCCGTACTTGGGGTTAAAAAAAAAAAAAAAAAAGCATTTATATAACATAACTGAATTTACAAAGAAACCAAAATGTCCATTACAGAGCGTTTTCTGGGAGATGACAGTAAAGCCTTCTCCAAAGTCAGGCTACTGTGCTGTTTTACCCAAGGCTCCTGCAACCCCGAGGGCCAAGATGCTCCCCAGCCACTGTGGCTGTCAGCACCAGCGCTGGGCCTTTTCCCTGGGGCCTGTCTCCAGGGCGAGGCAGTGGGTGATAGAGTCTCCTCCGTGTGGCCCCAGATCACTACATCTAACACGGTCCCCATGTCTCTGTGGAGCCCAGTGTTCTCCAGTGACACCCACCTCAGTGTGGTGATGCTTCTGTCTCTGTGGAGGTGAGGGCTGCCTGCCTCTGTCAACCGTTTTGTTTTCTGGTCTCTTGTGTTATGAGAAATCAAGAGTTAATATAGTTAGAAGCCAGAAAATTTCCAAGGTCATTTTCAAATATATTATCCATCCAACTGTACAGAACCATAATGTTCGTTCACGACCTGAACTGTGCCTGTCCCACTAAACACCATGCTTACAGACACGCAAGAAAAGCAGGGGTGAGAAAACCCTGAAGCTGGGCGGCAGTGGCACAGGCCTTTCATCTCAGCACTTAGGGAGGCAGAGGCAGGCAGATCTCTGAGTTTGAGGCCAGCCTGGTCGACAAAGCCAGCCCAGGTCAGCCAAGGCTACACAGAGAAACCCTGTCTCAAAAGCAAACAAAAAGTGCACACTCGAGCGCACTACAGTTTGGCTTTGGTGCTGAGCCTAAACTCCTACCCCACCGCAGAAGTTGTATTTCAAAGAACATCCACAAGCTGTGGCTTTCTGTCTTGTTTTTTCCCTTTTCAGTCTTGGTCTCTTAGAACAGAAGGTACAGAATTATTTAGAGGCCCACGGAGGAGGTGTTGAGGGGGCCACGTGCCTGTGATCCCAGCCCTGGGAAGGGTGAGGAGGATGCTGGCGAGGGCGGTGATTTCAAGGCCGGCCTGGGCTACACAGCAGATCCTGATGGTTACTGCACAGAGCACACGCGCTGCGCACCGGTGAGCGCTCTTTGCCGCCGTGGTCTGCGCAGGCAGAAAGCAGTGAGTTGTATTTCTTTCAGGTCTAGGCCAATCATTGGTAGATGTGAGTGGTTCGTATGCTCTCTTTAGAAACCCCTTGTTGGAGGAGGGTCCTGGGTACTGAGTTTTCAGATGCTGATGTCGGTACCCAGAGATCTGGCTGCTGGCCTGCCACGGGCGCTGTTATGTATGTTGAACTGACTCCTGGATCCATGTGATGTAAGGAATGCTCCCAATTATCCCTGATTGATAAAGTTGCTGACTGCATGGGCTGGGCAGAAGAAAGGGAGGTGGAGCTAAGGTTTCTGGGTTTGGGGTCTCAGGGGGACCACGAGGAGGGGAGGAGGACAGAGTTGGAGAGGAGACAGGAGGTTGCAATGAGGTAACCAGGAGCACGCGGTCAACAGCATCTTGCTCTGAGGACTGGCCTGATGGAGAAGCCTCCCAAACGGAACATGTGCAAGTATTTGGGATTTTGGATGGGAACCAGAGAGGACAGCTTAAAGGACTGATCTGCCTAGCCTTAGTGCTTTAAGCTTATTATAAATCTAAAAAGGTTGTGTCTTTTAGTTGGAAAATAGCTGGTTTATGAATAACTGCTGCTATAATAATTTCCTGATTGGTTGATATATACAAAATAATTCTTTTTACAAGCCCTCCTTTCACAAGCCAACCAGTAGGGGGAGAATACAAATAAAGTGAGGAATGGGCTTAATGAAATTCAATTCTCATTTAATTATCAGATTTCATTTTATTTTGTGGGAATTTTCTTTTCCTAACCCAGATTTTAGCAAAATTTCAAGTAAATACAATAAATGACCACTGAATACGGCTAGTCACATATAGTCATCCGTCTGTGGTTTCAGGTGAGAAGGCAGCCACTCTGAGACACAGCACAGTGCTTTCTGCAAGACATCCCGAGGCCAGAGAAGGCTCTGTGGGTAAAGGCACTGGCCGCCAAATCTGACAGCCTGAGTTTGATCCCAACATTCGGTTAAAGGAGAGAACCCAAATTGTCCTCTGACCTCTACAAGGGCACTGGGGTGTGTATGGCCTCACATACAACTCACACTAGAAGCAATTGATCTTTATTACAGTGTATTGTTGCAGTTCTTCTGTCTCTTTCTAATCCCTGCTCTATCTAACCAGTGAGCTCCGCCAGCTGTGTACGCACTCTCTCCAGGCTCAGCTGCCACAGGAGTCTGGGACATCTGGTACAAAAGACTGCCGCACAGCCACTTCTGCTCGGTAGATCACATCAGAGAGCACACACACAATTTACCTAAAGGCTACCATCATGTTCTCCGGGTGTGGATGGAGGACGCTCCCTCCTACGACGCTCATGTCGGGAAATAACTGCCACACAGGCGCTTTGGAACATTTAAAGTTTAGTAGGAATTCTGTAACATTATACACCCTTGAAACACCACTCAGATACACATGAATGCTTTGTTTCCAGACAGACACAAGCTCAATCCATTTTCAACACTCTTAAGTCATGACATTGTTTTATTTGGGAAGGACAGGCAAGCAGAGCCAGTTCGGAACTTCTCCCACCAAGGGCTGCAGGACACACACTGCTCTGTGGAGAAGCTGCGGTACAGTGGACTGACCTGCGGCGTTGACTCCAGCAGCATCTGGACACTAGCTGTGCGCAAGGTCCCTGCCTACCCATCGTGTCACGCGGCACGCTCTGTATACTGACAGTCTGCTCCTATATTCTGTACAGTAGATGCTAATTTTCATTCTGCTAACAAGCATGCTTTTACTTATGGGAAAAGGACCTAAACATTTTTATTTTTAAAAACCGAACAATTGGTTTTCTCTTTAACAGTTCTTCTTTTCCAAGAGGCTGATTTCTGACCCACCCCCCTTCGTCAGATGAGGCCTACTGACCACTACTATTCCCAGGAAAAACAACACTGCAACCCATATTGCGCTGTTAGGATGACAAAGCCTGTATTTTGTAATTTAAAAATTTTATTGTGATCTTAGTCATCTAAAAGAGAGCTAATCATCGTCTGTCTTGAAAGCATCTCCTCTTGTTAACTTTGGTAGACAACTGTTTTAGTCCACTTCAGTCTAATTCAGAGGCTGGAAAGCTGGAATGTGGTGGAAAGTGCAGATTTTTAGACCCAAACCTGCTCGACCGATGAGGCGGCAAGCAGTCCTTTAAACCTTATTGTGTTTGTCAAAACACAACCGAAAAAATGGAGCATTTTTAAGGAGATGCTAATAGTTAGGAATTGTAAAGTAAGGAGGCCTCTTCAGGATGGCCACACAGACAGAAGGGTGGGAAGTTTAACCCAGCCACGCTGGATGGACTAGAGGTGTTATCTGATGCCTCGCCCTCACCCGGAGCGGCTTAGAGCCAGGTGTGACCAGAGCACAATGTGCTGCTGACAGGAACAAGGACGAACACGTGAGCCAGGCATGGGGCCCGAGCCTGCAGTAACCAGCAACTGCAACTAGGGGAGGCAGCGGGACCATCAGGACTTCAGGGGTATCCTGGGCTACTTGGGATCATGTCTTACTTGTTTAAGTCTCCCATGTCATGGGAGGTACCTTGGCTTTAAAAGAGTGTGGAGAGGAGGGGGCTAAAGCAACTTGTTACCCAGCTCCGAAGGTGAAACAGGACCGGCTGCCACTTCAGCGTCTCAAAACCAGGTAAATCTAGAGCAGGTGAGATGGCATCACTATGTCTACAGGGACTGCAGTTGGTCATGGCGTGTGCATGTTTTTTCCTGTGTATCACTTGTGTGGCTATCTGCTCTCCAGACTGTCCTGGCGCTCAGCCCGAGGCCAAGAACATAACACAGCTGACGTCCTCTCTGGGGCTTGTCTTCCTGGGTTCGCTTGTGCACCACTCTCATTTGGAAGCTCACCCGGTCAGAGAGGCGCTTCCAGCCTTGGCGGCCAGTCATGTCGCAGGTCATGGGTGCCATCTACAACCTTCTCTTTGCCCTGTCCTTACAAGCACAATGCACATTCTAGTCAAACAATAACATTTCCCATTTATATATTCACACATGGACACGGTAAAACACAGAACTACATCACTCATAAACCACGTGAAGCAGAAGCGTAAGGATTTCCTAACTATAGGTACGAGAAAATGCATGCAGGGTGAGCTCCACAGAGCACAGGCCTCCGGGCCTGGATTTCCAATCTTGGTTTGTATTTTCTGGGCTATAGTGACATGTCTTTCTACTCAGCAAAACATTTTTTAAAATTTTAGATATTGCCCACTGTGTCAGATTTAAATGAAAATGCTCTCTACATATACGACAATAAAAGCAAAGCAGCTTACAACACAGTCCGTGTTTAATACATCGGAAAGTTTCCAAGGCAACGTAATTCGACTGTGCCACTGTCCCTAGTGTAACACAGAGCTCTAAGAGAGCGAGAGTGGGGATGGGGGCCCGCCAGGCAGGGCTCAGGTGCTCTTCTTTTCATCACCCAGTAAGTTCACCGTCGCTTTCTTGACTGTTGGGGGGGAAAGAAAATGGTATCAAAAGCTTTTATAATGGAAAGCCCATGCCTCCCCGGCCCAGAGACAATGTGGTGACTAAGTGGGTGACTCATGCGCAGATGAGCACACTCTGAGGCTTGTGTCAAGGCTAAGAGGGCTTCCAGGAAATGGACAGAGTGCCTCTTGAGAGCACATATCCCCAAGACTTAAGCAGAGTTCTTGTCCTCTGGTCCCAATGCTTGTGGGACACCATCACCTGTCTCCTTCAGTCACTGAAAGCAGCACGGACTGTCATGGTGACCAGAGTTAGGAAAAGAACCCACGCCAGCACCACAGACACCTAGGCTTGCTCACTGTGCCCCGGTCCCCCCAAGACAGGAAGTGAGATGGAGGGCAGGGCAGAGACTTCTGGAAGCCTGCAGGGAGACTCCACAGATGGCAGCTGCTTTTGATGGAGGCTCTCCTCACGAGAGCCATGGAGTCCCTTTGTACACAGCTTCCTGAGAGCTGCTTTCCCTTCACTCACTCAAAGCCACCAGGCAAAGTTGACAACAAGGAAGGGAACAACAGTCTTCCTTTCTCAGCCAGCTGGCCGAGGATTCCTAATGAACATGAGCTATCTAGTGAACCCCTGAGCCATCTCTCCAGCCCCACTTTCCAGTTTTCACAACCGTATTTGGGGTCTGCTTTCATGATCCAAAGCAGACTGCGCAGCTGAGGCAGATTTAATGGCCCATGACACCTGAATTATTCACTGCATGTTCCCTATATCCCAGCCTCTTTCCAGACAACTATCCATGCCTCCTCTGCTCCACCCACCCTGCCCTCGTCTCTCTTTTCTTCTACTTACTGAGAAACCTGCAATAAGGAAATCATTTTTTAAAGCTACCAGTCCCCCGCCCCGCACACACACACCAGCTTCTCCAGCACCAACCTCTATTTTCCTCCTATTCACAGTGTTCCAGCCCTGGCCATTCCCTATGCAGCACACACACGAGATGCCATCTTTGGTCTGCTTGAGGACATCATTGTGGGCAGCAGCTCGTCCCCTTTCTGACCATTACCTTATGTTCTCTACTGATCATTCCCTCTCAGTTTCAAGCATGCTTTGCTTCTCTGGCCTTAACAAAGGCCTCTCAGGGCTGGAGAGATGGCTCAGAGGTTAAGAGCACTGGCTGCTCTTCCAAACGTCCTGAGGTCAATTCCCAGCAACCACAAGATGGCTCACAGCCATCTATAATGAGATCTGGTGCCTTCTTCTGGTGTAAAGGCAGAACATTATATACATAATAACAATAAATCTTTTTTTTTTAATCAAGGGGGTTTTTACCCTCCTTTTTTTTCATAATTTATTTTATTTTATGTGTCTTAGTGGAAGGTGTTAGAGCCCTCCGACAGTTGTGAGCTGCCATGTGGGTGCTGGGAATTGAACCTGGGTCCTTTGGAAGAGCAGACAGCGCTCCTAACCGCTGAGCCATCTTCTCAGCCCCAACAATAAAACTTTAAAAAAAAAAAGTGTCTCAAGCCTCAAGACCCCGAAAGAAACTGCCCCACTCTCTCAATTGTCTCCTATCAGATGCTTGTTCCCAGTACCTACTAAGTTTTTTCAAGTTACTATTCCTTCCTCATTGCTGATGGGTTGTCTCTTGGTCTTCATCTTATCTAACCCTCATAGTAAGTAGCATAATGGACACTTCACCTGGACCACACTCTCTGGCTTTCCTGTTCTCCTCATCAGCTCCTCCCTGCCAGCACGCCTGGCTGGGCCCAGGGCACTTTCATCTCTTACAACCTCAGTGTGAACTTGCTGGCTGGGGCTCAGCATCTGTGCCAAGTGGCTATCCGCCTGCCCCATGCAATCTCTATCTGCCCAGGGCTGGATTTTCTAGTTCATGCTACCCAGGCTTCCCAACTCAATGGCAAGTCTACCCTTTCGGTTGTTCAGGCTGGAAAGCCTGGCCTTGGCTTCTTTCTCTCGCAAACTCCTACCATAATTCATAAGCAAATCCTGCTGTCTCTGCCTTAAAAAAAAAACCGTAATTTTCTCATACTTATTATTGCTACCTTATTTTCACCGCTACAAATCATAAAGCTATCATCTCTAGCCAGATCCTTCCATCTTTAGTCCATAGCCCCTGTCCCCATCTAAGGACCGAACCACCGAGGGCATTTTGTGCTCAATAGGCAAATGCTCTACCACTGGGCTAAATCCCCAACCCCTTAGCCTACTCTTAAGGCAGCGGCCACATCCCACTGCTCTTCTGCTCAAACCTCTAGCATCTCCAACAGTCTAAGCTAATTTCCTTTCCATGGCCCACAGGCAGCCCCAGATTTGGCCTGCCCACGGTCTGACCCTGTCTCCCGTCATCCTCCTCTTTCTTCTATTGCTTCTACCTCCAAGCTTTCTCACAAGAAGCTCTGAACAATCTACCCTTGAGTGGATTTTCAAGTCTGATTCAGGACAGCCTTCATGGCCACTGATCTTGATTTTCAACTTGACACACCTGAGAGGAAGGACCCTCAGTTGGAGAATCACCTCCATCAGACTAGCCTTCGGGCATGTCTCTGTTTTCTTGATTGCTAACTGAGGGGGTGGGGCACCACTGTGGGCCCAGGGTCTATAAGAAGCCTGGAGGTGGGCAGGCAGGCAGCACCCCCACTGCCTTCTGCAGCCACTCCTCCCTGGCACCTCAGTGAAGGGCTGGGACCCACCAGGAAGAAACAAACCCTTCTTCCCCAGGCTGATCTTTGGTGAAAAGGTTTTATCGCAATAACAGAAAGGCAAGCTGGAACACAACCTTCCTGGTGATAATTTCCTGATGTCTTGTTTTAAAGAATTGCACATCCACCGTTCTGCCTCCCAAATGCTGAGATGGTAGGCATGCGCCACCACACCCAGCAACAAAACACTCAGAATGGCACACTGCAGGCCAGCCTGAACCGAGTATATCGACATCTGCCTAAGCAGAGACGGCACTCTAAATAAACTCTGCCTGCAGTGGGGAAGTCACTGTTCTAGAATGATGACTGAAGGCTGTGCTGAATCCGCCCCTGAGACAGAGCAGAGAAGCCGTGGGGGCACTCGGTGACCCTGAGCCTGCTGTTGGAGCCTCGGGCACGCCGTCCCCTGCACATAGTGCACCAGGTGGTCCCCAAGCCCTACCTTCTTTGGTGATGGCATCTGCAGTCTCTTTGGCTTTGTCTTTCACGTCCTTCACCACACTGTCTACCCGGGACTCGTGCTTCAGAAAGACGGGGCGGATGATGCGCCTGTAGAGCAGTTCGGCCCCGTTAGACGGGCTGGGGGCCATGCACCACAACAGGAAGCCACACTGCAGGAACAGAGCGCTGGTGAGAAGGAGCCTTGGACACTCTGACTACACTCACGCCCTCCACCACCCGGGGCAGCTGTTGTGACTGGCATGTCCCCTGGTATGCCCAGTGATTAATGTAGGCTACTGGGACGCGTTCTCAGATGGAAAAAACACAACCAGTAATGAACCAGCCAAGCTATACAAAGGGACTGCGTTTCAAAAGAAAGAAAAGGAAAACGAGAAGAGGAGCTGGGCTCAGCCGTTCTGTTACAATACTGCCTAGCACAGCCAAAACCATGGGTTCAATCCCCAGCACCACAAAACCTAGGCACGGTGGCACCAGCCCATAATGCCACACTCTGTGTAAGTGGAGCAGTGGTTCAAGGTCATCCCCAGCCACAGAAAAAAGCTGAGACCAACCTGGGATGTGTAAGACCACGCCTAAAGTAAATAAACAGATAAGTACAACAAGTCATGATAATGGGAGACAGGAAAATACAGGGGTATAATGTCAAAACAAAACCCATTGTCTTTTGACATTTTTTTATGTGTGAGTGCAGGTACACACGTGAAGGTCGAAGGCCAGCATTCAGGAATCAGTTCTCCCCTCCACTGTGGTTCTGGGGATCAAGTTCAGGTGCCAGACTTGCAGGGCAATTACTGTCACCCACTGTCTTGTCCTCCTGAACCCCTTTTCTTAAAATAAATACCTACTAATAAAAAATAAAGAACAAAGGGCCGGGAGACAGCTTGCCTCCCAAGCAAGAGGCTCTGAGTTTGCACCCCAGCAAACTGGGGCTGCTGGGTGAATGCATTTGGGTGAGCACACCCTGTACACAGCCACTTATAGCAGGACGACAGGCCCAGCCACTCGGCAGCAGGCCAAGGGCCTCCGTAACACGCTTCTGGGCCAGCACACTTCCAAGAACAGAGAGGGATGTGTTTGTGGCTAGAACTTTTGTGGGCTACTTTGCTCTTTGGTCTTGTCCACTTTGGCCAGGCCTGAAAGGTCTGGCTGGATGAGTTGGGAAAGCAGATGGGGCTGCCCCTCCTGAAAGGGAGGAGGTGTCCTTGATGCTGCCTCGAGGACATAACCGCTTGGTGGCCCATATCTTGGCAGAACCTTGCCGTGAGCGAAGGGAAATACTGAGAAACAGGTGGCTTCTAGATTAAGGGGAAAGTAAATGTTTTTAGGACAGTCTGAGCAAGGCAGGACCTAAACATAAATAAAGTTTCCTTTTGTCTTGACCTAGAATAACCCGCCTTTGTTTGCAAGTGCTATAAAAGTTTATGCTGAATTATTAAACTTTGCCATATGCCATATCAAGAGCTGTGGTCCGTTACCTCTTTCATCCATTCTCTCACAGGAGCTTGCTGGCTGGCTCCAGCAAACTTTTACTTAGAATGTCTCATTTTCAGGAACAAATTATTCACTTCAAAAGAAGGCATCAAGGTGAAATGCAAATCACTCAGCAAATTAAAAATCAAAAGGGGTCTGTTTCATGAGTTTAATAAGCATGTCATCATGTCTGGGTCCTTTTTCTGTTCTGCAGGGTTTTAGCAAAATCTTCTTTTTCCTTTTTTTTTTTTTTACATTTATTTATGTCCACAAATGCTTTGCCTGCAAATATGTGTATGCACTGTATGTGCTACAGTGCTCACAGAGGTCAGGAGAGGGTGTTAGATCCCTCTGGAACCGGAGTTACAGATGGTTGTGAGTCACCATGCGGTGCTAGGAACTGAACCTGGGTCCTCTGCACAAGCAGCCACTGCTCTTCGCTGCTAAGCCATCTCTCCAGCCCCCCTGATGTTTTTATCAGCTAGCAGCAGGACAACAGTATCATCTCAAGCTCTCACCGTTGGTGGAACCCCCTGAAATGCCATCCACCCACAGAGACACCACCTTTGAGAAATCCAGCCAGGCTGGTTCTCTATTCTGGAAGAGTTAAGACTAACAGACAGGACAGAGTCAAGCGTCCCCAGTTCTGTCTTGAGTGTGATTACTCTAGAGTATACAGCTGACTATCCACTTTGTACTCCTGTTACCCTCTAGCTACTGTCTTGGGATGGTAAAATAATTAGTGCTCTCTACCTACATCCTCAGCATTTTCCAGTTCTCATATTAAAAATAAGGTTAATTACTGTTCAACTCTCAAGGCAATACCCAGCCATCAGCTTTCAAAACTCCCCCTCAGTTTATAGAACTATTTTTCACACAGATGTGACCACATTTTTCATCAACCTCCTGCAAGTGCCAGCAGATAATTCTCTAGAGACAACCAACCACACAAGTCCACTCTTCCTGACAGTTCAGACAAAAGGCACATGATTGCTTAGCTTGACTGTGGTGACAGCAGCACAGACACAATGAATCCATGTCCTACACACCAGACAACTCTGTGGCTCCAATGCTATCACCATCAGTTACAACTGACCGGCAGGGGACCAGCCTGCTCAGAATTTAAAGAGAACGCCAGACAATGGATTCAAAGGCTGGAGATGTAGCTAAATGATACAGTGCTTGCCTAAAATGTAACAGGCCCAGGCTTCAACCCCTAGCAACACACACACACACACACAGAGAGAGAGAAAGAGAGAGAGAGACTGATTTTACTGTATTGTTTTTTTGAGAAAGGTTTCTTTGTGTAGCCTTGGCTGTCCTAGAACTGGTTCTGTAGACCAGGCTGACCCTGTCTACAGAGATCCGCCTCCCTCTGCCTCCAGAGGGCTGGTATAGCACCACCTAGAGACTCATTTTATGTGTCCGCTTTTTGTAATACACTACAATTAGTCAGAAAGCTAAGTCTTAGATACAAAATCTCATTTATGTTCCGATGACATGAAAGTAGAAGAAAAACTATCTGGAAAACAAAATAAAAAAAATTATGCTCAAAATACAATGTGTACTTGTATAAAATGGCCTTATGTAAACTATAATTAAGGAAAAGAAGACGATATGGAGATAAAGAGATAATTCTAGATATTTGAAAGCCTTTATAACAGCCACAGAAAGGTGACAGTTTAAAATCAATTGTTTACTCCAGACAGTGGTAGCACACACCTTTAATCCCACCACTCAGGAGGCAGAGGCAGGTGGCTCTTTATGAGTTCAAGGGCAGCCAGGTCTTCAAAGAAAGTTTCAGAACAGCCAAAAAACCCTGTCTTGAACTCCCCACCCTCTCAAAAAAGATAAGCCCCCAAAGACACGCCCACAGGCAATCTGATGGTCCTTCACTTGAGACCCACCTCCCTGGTCACTCCAGACTGGGTCAAGCCTACAGTTAAAAACTAACTAGGACGTAAAAGGGTGTGTCATTTATTTCCTGACGGAGTTTATGAATCCCTTGGAGGAAAACTGGTTTGCAGACTTCGTACACTATTTCTAAAGAAAAACAACATAATCAATTACAGGCCCTGTCAGGAGCAAATCATGTAGAATTTCACAATAGGTTGTTCCCGAGCTCAAAGAAGGGAGAGAGCTGTGCAACCCTGGCGGCCAGAGCTCACTGCCGATTGCTGGAACCCAACTCCTCAAAGTGTCCTCTGACCTTCGCAAGTGCACACGCTCATGAGCATACACACAAGCACACACATAAAATAAAATTGGCAAAAATACACTTGAAAATTTTGATGGTTGAAATAAAAATCACAGCTCGTGGGATTGTTGCAGACTGGTTGCAACTATGAGCAACTGTAAGAACTGGACAGTCAGACTGAAAGGAAAGAGGGACATGTGGACAGATCTTTTAAAAGGAAGGCCAATCAAATAGAAAAGGAAACTACATCTATTATATCTCAGAACTAAAAATCAAGATAAAGGAGCCGCTGAAGAGACCTGCAGTTGAGCGCTCACCTAGACCATGCAAAGCCCTGCTTTGACTCCCAGCCCAGAAAACAAAACAAACCAAAAAACCCAAAAAGCTAAAGGAGGAGGCAGCATGCTATTAGCTAATCTTCCGCACCTATCTTCCTTAGACTGAAAGCATTAGGTACACAAACGCACTGAAATAAAAGTAACTGTAAAGGGGTCAGAAGGCATGTAGTGACGACTACCAGATGTTAAACAAACCTTCAGGTGTGCTGCATGTAAGCCAACTGTATAATCGGGCTGAACAGCATTTTCAAGTCAGAACTTTGTAAGTGGGAACGACGGGGCCATGGAAAGGCTGCAAGTACCCAGTTGGACATGGAGAGGAAAAAGCCAAGTCATCATTCAAAGTAACGTGCAAAATAGAAAAAAATTAATTGCCGAGCATTACTTAGAGACAGAAATAAATGACTCAATTGTCATAAATAAAGTGAAACTGCGCTTTTCCTGATTGTTTTTTTTAAAGACTTGTTCTTATTTTATGTGTATGAGTGTTCAGCTTATGTGTACCTGGTGCCCATGGGGTCAGAAGATGCAGCAGACTCCCTGGAACTGAAGTTACAGACAGTTGTGAGCACCCATGTGGGTGCTGGGAATTGAACCTGGCTCCTCTTCAACAGCAGCCAGTGCTCTCAACCTCTGAGACATCTCTCCAGCCCCAACAATGGGTTTCAGAGGTTTTATTCGTTTTGGGGTTTCTGTTTGGTTGGGTGTTTTGTTTGGTTTGTTTTTTCAAGACAGGGTTTCTCTGTGTAGCCTTGGCTGTCCTGGACTCACTTTGTAGGCCACACTGGCCTCAAACTCACAGAGATCTGCCTGCCTCTACCTTTCGAGTGCTGGGATTAAAGATGTGTGCCACCAAGTCTGGCTATCAATGGTTAATTTTAAGGAAAATACAGAATAGATTTTTTTTCCAAAAATCTTTCAGATTTTTGACTTGAATATTTAAACTACACATGTACTTTGTATTAAAAAGACTACTACTAAAAAAGAAAAGAGGAGAGTCCACAGTCCCTCATGGCTGGACACAGACCTTCTCTAGCTTGCACAGTGTGAGAACCAGAGGTAGTGGGTACATCACACCCACTGGCCTCTCCTGGGGAAGACGCCTGGGCAGCTGTCTGAGAACGGCTTGTCTGTTCAGTGAAAAAGAGCCGCTGTGCCCATGAAATGGACAGTTTTCTCCTCTGGTGCAAGCCAGAAGCCCACAGTGATCCACTTATAAATGAATTTCAGTTTCCTGTCCTTTTCCCCAAATATTGGCAGCTTTGACTAGTCCTGTGCCAAAAACAAGATTTGGCGGAGCTGAGCTCTGATTACCACTTCTGCCAAAGTTACCAAGATGACTCTCTCAACCAACTGGATATTTTCTTTCTCCAAATCTATTATGGGAATTATGTGTTTTTCTCCCAAAAATAATGACTCCCACTCAGCACTGCCAATGCTAAAAATGCTGATTTCTTTCCTCATCACATCACACATCACTGCATGAAGATTACCAGCAACACCTGTGTCAAATCACAGTGCTTCCTTTTCCTGCAAGTCTCAAATATGCCTTTGCCACAAGCCGCCCTGCCTTCTCAGCTGTAATCTGAGAGAGAAGCCACTGGTATCTGACATTCAAGCCCTTGCTCCTGCTATTCCTGGTACAGAGGTCCTGAGGCCGAGTCTGAGAGACAGAGGCAATGCGAAAGCTGTTCAGAAGCCGCTGTACCTTCAGCATGTAGTAGAAAGGGAACCAGGACAGGAAGAGATCAGAGAAGAACTCGGCAATGCTGAACACACCGTACACTACCCAGTACGTCAGCCACTGGGTATCATCATCTTTGTTGGGACTCTCGATGGCCTTCATCCTGAAAAGCAAAAGAAAATAGGTTGTCCGTTAGTGCGGCCCATTACTCTACACAGCCTATTCTCCAACACCAAACTCGGTCGAATCTATGGACTATGGCTCACTTTAACTGCAGCTCCCAGGAGGCAGAGGCAGGGGGATCTCTGTGAGTTCCAGACCGGCCAGGGCTACATAATGAGACCCTGTCAAAAATCAAAGAGAAAAAAAAACCCTTCATAATAGCCTGTGGGATAGGTTTTGTGGTTTTTGTTGGTGGTGGTGGGTTTTTGTTTCGTTTTTTTTAGAGAAAGAAACTACAGCTCAGAGAAGAAAAACAAAAGAGCACTGCTACGAGCAGCAGGGATGGGTTTATACCTAGGACCACCTCCAAATCATGTTGTTTCCTAATTAGAAACAACTCACCACCAGACTGGACAGCACCTAGAAAAATGTCTACTAATTAATGTGAGTACAATACACAGAGATCTTGTCCTGTGCTGGAGAAAGCCAAGGCCCACAGGTTGATCATGGAGCATAAAGAGGAGAGAAAGGTTATGTGTCTCAACAGTATAAATCCCCAGAGGACAGTCTACACTTCGCCCTACATACTTGGGGGTGGGGAGAGTCACAGTGAAAGGGTGATGTCTGAGCTGGTGTTCCAGTCTGCTGGTTCACAAACCTAGATGACCATCACACCCGCCCAGAGGAGTCGGTAAAACACAGTAACCAGTTCCTTCTTGAGACCTACTGATTCAGACTCTGGAAGGCAGCAGACAGCCACTTGGTCTCAGAAAGTTGTACAGGAGCCAGGTGTGGTGTCACACACCCGAAATACCAGCACTTGGAAGGTGAAGGCAAGAGAATCTCAAGTTCCAAGCTAGACTGTTGTCTTGAAAAGTAATGATGAATAACAGAGGGCTGGGAAGATGGCTCAGAACCCACAGAAATAGGGACCTGGGCCCAGACACCCAGAACCCACATAAAACCAAACACAGTACTGTGTGTCTAACTGTAGGTAACACACAGAAATGGGGACCTGGGCCCAGACACCCAGAACCCACATAAAGCCAAACTCAGTACTGTGCGTCTAATCTCAACATTGCTATGGCGGGTGAGAGGCAGAGACAACAATCCTCAGACACTCACTGGCCAGCTAGGACTCGGTATTAAACCAGGGACCCTGCCTCACCTGGTATTGTCCCCTGACTCCACAGGGGTGCCAGCCACCCCAACACATACATACACCCCAAACATATTAAAATAAAATAACAGTTATGCAGTTGATCCCCATGGAGAGCCAAACTTGACAACCATCACGTCAGACTTGTAGACTTTACAGCACTACCCTACTCATTTCTAAGAAAGAAAACCCCAGGAGCCAGTGTGCTTCCCACGGGCTGCAGCTGAAGGACAGCTGCGGATCCCAGCACTGAGTAGGAGCCTGAGAGAGAGAAGGGGCACAGAAGAGACACTGAGGAGAACTCAAAGCTGCAGGAGGCCCACTCCACCAGGCCTAGAATGCACACCTCAAGGATTCATTTAACACCCATCACCAAGGCTGTGAGAACTACATCTAAAGCCCTCTGCTTGCTTTACTGGGCCAGCGTCTCTGGTTCTTTTCCCATCCCCAGTGAAACTCCAGAGGCATTCTGGAGCAATCCCGGCAGCAGCTGGCAATGCCCATGGCTCTCTGCGAAGGCCTGGCTTCACCATTATTGGCAGACACTGATCCTGAGCTCTGAACTACTGAGGTAAATGTTCACAGCTCTTCTGGCCACACCGTGGTTTTTAAGCTCATTACTCTGTAGAAAACACTGCATATTCTCACCACTGACCCAGAGCCTGACCACCTATGCTCGGCACCGTGGCCTCCTTTCCCTCTGTCCTGAGCCACTTGCCTAGGAATGGCACTCCACTTCCCCAGAGCAGATGTCAAGAAAGAAGCTGGGCTGGGTGAGTGACAGACAAAGCTAAGGTGAAAGAGATGGTTGGCAGCTCTGGGGGAGCCAGCAATTCTACGAATTCATAGAGCAGAAATCGGAACCACAGAATGTTGTTTTGGAGGCATCTTAGAGATGAACTAGCTAAAAATTCTCACGTATGTATGTATATATGTACATATGTATGCATGTACTTTTTGATAGGTCTCTTTGATAGTAGTCCAGGCTGGCTTCAAGTCAGCTAGACAGCTGAGCCTAGCCTTTAGCTCTTCATCCTCCTGCTCTACCTCCCAAGTGTTGGGACACCTGGCCATGCTAATATGCATGAACGCCTGCAGACGTGTGTGTGTGTGTGTGTGTGTGTGTGTGTGTGTGTGAGAGAGAGAGAGAGAGAGAGAGAGACAGAGAGAGAGACAGACAGACAGATAGAGAGAGAGAAAAGGTCAAAGAGGCCAGAGTGGTATCAAAATGAATTCTACTTCATTAAATTAAAAGCTTATGGAAGCTCCATTTTAAAATGGGGACTGGACTACTTAAACACACTTTAAATATTCTGAAGCCTTTATAAAGGGTAACCACAAAGATGTCCCAGATACATTGCTGAGTATCAAAACAAGCAAACGAACAAAAGATGTGTCTGTGTGCTGACAGACCAAGACAGGTATCTGGAAAGAAAGACTGCAGAGTATAAAATCAGTCCTGAGCACTGGGATAACAGAATTTTACTTCTCAAGGTCTTAGTAATGAGCATATAGTAATAGCATAGTTTTATTTTTGGTGGAGGTGGGGTGGTGGTGTTCAGAGACAGGGTTTCTCTGTGTAGCTCTGGCTGTCTTGGAACTCACTCTGTAGACCAGAATGGCCCCAGACTCAGAGATGCACCTGCCTCTGCCTCCTGAGTGCTGGGATTAAAGGTGTGCACCACCACCACCTGGCTTAGCAGGGTTCTTTTTAACAATGAAGGGGGCAGAAAAAAGTTCCATTTGGAACCACTGAGCTCCAGGCTGCAACTCCTACTTCCTGTGAAGCTAGTTCTCTCTGGGGTTTTGTTAGAAACAAACACTAAAGTGAACATACTCATTTAGCTTCTCTCTTGAGGAAATAGCTAATAGATTTCCTTATAAACAGTCCTCCCTAACAATGACACATTCTGTGCCTTTAGGGATTAAAAGGCTTTTGATATATACACGTAGAGAAACAGAAAAAAGGGGTAAATACAGCCCATAGGATGAAATTACCTCATTTGCGCTTTCTCCTTAAACAAAATAAACTATCACGCACTGAGTGCTCTAAGTGCATGCCTGGCATGGCACCACTTCGCCGCCCTGCCCCACCACTCAGGCTGACCTGAGTGGGCGCTTACATTCTCCCCGGGCTTTAGCTTGCTGTCTACCAAGTGATAGGATAAATCTTACTGTGTTGTATAGACAATGTGCTCATATACACTGAATGGCACAGAATAAATATGTCCACAGTAGGTAATAGTTAAGGTATGGTAATTTTTTAAAGATGTGTTTATTTATTTATTTAATGTATATGAGTGCTCTGTTTGCATGCACACCAGAAGAGGGAATCAGATTCCACTACAGATGGTTATAAGCCACCCTGTGGTTGCTGGGAATTGAACTCAGGACCTCTGGAAGAGCAGGCATTGCTCTTAACTGCTGAGCCGTCTCTCCAGCCCCCTCGTATGGTAATTTTCATTAGCATTCATAAGGAGGTGAGCAATTTAAGAGAGAAAAGGACCAATAGTCGCTCTAAGAGCTGGTAGAAGAAATATTATTAGTTAGTAGGCTAAAAAGGAGAAGAGAAGATTGCAGGTGGATTTTAATTATACCCCAGATCTGACGTGCTACAAGAAGAGAGAGTTAGCTGAGGTCCCCAAAGTCCTGTCTGCAGATAGGGCATTTTTGGATGCTGACGAAACAGCCTCTGGGAAACCCTGGAAAGGTACAGGGGAGCGATTCTTTTTAGTGTTGGACTGGCACTAATACACAAGGGCACCAATGGGCCTCCCCGCCCACCGGAGCACCACAGCTGGTGTCGGCTCACTCCATGCTTGTCGGCCACCTGCTTGTTCACACCTCTGCAGCTGCATTTGTTGTTAAAACAAAGCCAAGAACCGAGGATATTATAGGATAGCATCAAATGCCTATGAAGAAAACCAAAGCTGAGCTGGTCCAGTCTTCTCTCCCTCCCAAACTAAATGTCATTATAGAGAGCAGAAAACATGCCCCGATCCATAGGGAATGTTGCAAATCCTCTCGGGATTTGGGTGATAAAGACCTGTCCCTCTGCATTCAGCCGTGACGTGATGCTCTCTCTAGTGGGGATGCGGACAGTGGACCAGCTCTACAGAGGGGCCAGGTGTGTATGGGAACTTCCGGTCCCCTCCTCAATTTTACTCTCAATCTACAATCCCTCTTAAAAACAGGCTACTTTCAAAAAAAGAAAACTGCTTATAAACTAGACATTTTATAATATCATTTTTAAAATTCTTATATTACCACCATGCCATTTTAGTTTGGGATTGGGGGGGTGGGTGTTGCTTCCTTTTCTGAGACAGGATTCTTCTATGTAGCCCTGGCTATCCTGGAACCTACTCTGTAGACCAGGCTGGACTAGAATTGAGAAACCGCCTGGCCTGCCTCCCACATGCTAGGACTGAAGGCCTGCCCCAACAGTGCTCCAGCAATCTATTTTTAGGATGGGGTCTCTGACCTGACCCTTGTGCTGAGCCCCCTCAATTAGGTGATCGTAGGCGTGTGCTACCACAACTGGTTTCCTTCATCTGTCTTTTCCTATCTTCACAGCAACACTGCCTCATCACAAACTCTAGCAGAGCTTCATGGCCTCTCCCTGCCCAGTGAACACTCGCTCCACAGGCAGGGCAGACCCTGTTCCTTCCTCCCTGGCAACATGCCTTCTTAATACACACACAGCAGTGGTTTGTGTAGATTAACTGGCAGAGACGCCTGGAATGGGGGAAGCCCGGTCCAGGAGATGGATCGGGGTGTCAGCCCACGGTGGTAATCCCAGTGCCCTCGTTTGATATGTGCCTGTAACTCCGAACAGTCAGGGC